TTTTTTTTTTTTTTTTTTTTTAATAATAAAAAAAGGTATTTTACCTAAATTGTCAAACAATATTATAATAGCAACTGATTTTTTGCCACAATCAGCGGCGAAAACTGATGAATTTCAGTTGGGCGCATGAAAATTTTTTGTCTTATTATCATTTATCTATTTATACTTTGATTTCTCTAATATAACATAATAATAAAATGAAATATTAGGGTCTGAGTTAGGGAGAATCAGAAATTTCTGTTTCATTTTGTGATTAATATACGTATTGTATATATAAAACCATAATAAAAGAAAAATAAAAAACTAAAAGAGATTCTACGGTCCCGTTACGGAACTATCCGTCGTGGTTTGTAATCATCAAATTAACTATTCATGACAGTTACATTATGATCTAACGGTTACAAATTCTGACGGAATATTTTTCGTAACGAGACTGTAACACTCTCAAAAACTAAAATCAATTGATTATCCAAAAATGGGAGACGCGTAAAATATTAATAATAGATCATAAAGTATAAAAACAATTGATAATCCGAAAAAGTGAGACGTAAAGCAATCAAATTCATTAGCATGCATAGTTATAGATTTATTATAAAGTCTCCAAACCAAATGATAGGATTTAATTTCATTGTCAAACCTCACGGAACCATCCACCAAAGACCACACATTTCTCAATTTCTATAAAAATCACACCAAAAATCACACAACACAGAACACACAAAACAAATTACCCACTGTAAAAAAGATTCATAGAAAAGTGAAATTAAATTTACAGCTATGGACACAGTACAGTCCTTCAAGGGCTACGGCAAAGTGGACGAGATCGAGGAATCCAATTTCCGGCGAAAAACCCGGCGGCGCTTGATCATACTATCTGTCTCCCTCGTCCTCCTGGCGGCCCTGATCGTCGCCGTAGTCACCGGAGTCGTGATCCACAACCGGAAATCCGGCCACTCCGGCGGGATCCCGACCACCCCGGCAGCGGCGATCCGAACCGTGTGCGGCGTCACTCAGTACCCGGACGCGTGCGCCGCCAGCCTTTCCGGAGCCAACTCGTCAGATCCGGCGAAGATCTTCCGATTCTCGCTGACGGTTGCCGCCGACGCGCTGAGGAGGGCGTCGACGCTCCCGGGCGCGTACGCCGCGAACTCGTCGGATCCGCTCGTAAAGGCGGCGGCCAGCGTATG